AAACCAAGGTGTTAAGTCTACAGTGTTAATTTCACATTTATAGTATTAAATCCATACCATCTTGGTGTTTATACAGGTGAGAATGATATAAACATCGACACAGTATTTAATATCCATGATATTAAATTTAACACCTATTTTTTAGAATATGACCATAATTTTATTTTGTTATATATATTGTATTTTTGTTCTGTTACATCTTACGATTAGCGATTAAAATCGATTAACTTTTTATTTTATTTTTTTTGGTATTCAATTCTCTATAATATGTATGCGATTGTACTGTCTATTATAAATGTATTAATATAAAAAGTCGAAAGTTCTTTTTTTCTGAATAAGAAAAGACTTGAAATCGCGCGCGCAAACTGCAGTTTTTGAATGCATTTGTATGTACGTATCTAGATATATTCGGTTTAAGTACTTATAGTCGTCTAAGCCGATTTGCGTCGTTAGATGACTCTATGTGGGTCAAATTGGAGCGGACCGCCGCTGGCCGCAAAGTCCAAAGCCTATACCAGTTCTCCCTCTACCTCTCTCTCTCTCTCTTCCCTTTGATATTATCGATTCAGACTGCACGGTGCGCTCCCGGCTGCTACCGCTGCTGCACGACAGCCGTTTGCGTACATGCTTCCCGCGATATGACAAACAGCATGACGCAAGCGACGCCTGCAACGTCGCCGATATAATGCACATGTGTCGTTGATACGGCACGAAACGTCAAGACGTGTTTTCGAACGTCGTTATAACGATCGTAGTAGACGCAAGAGGTAAAGCAAAGGCGAAGGGTGCGAATATTGGCCGAGACCGAGGGAAATGCCAGCATCGTACGTCCTTTCGATATAGAATGTTCTAAGAAACGACGTATACCGCAAGCTAAAATACGATACCTACACATGTGTGCGTGCGTGCGTGCGTGGGTGCGTGTGTGTGTGTGTGTGTGTGTGTGTGTGTGTGTGTGTGTGTGTGTGTATGAATTTAGATCGGTGAAAATTAATCTAATTAAAAAAGAGAAATCCTTAATATTCGATTAAAATAGATTTCAATGTTCGCTTAATATGAAATAATAATATGTATCTATTTGATTTTGTGCAATTGCGCGCCAAAATATTTGTCTTTAAACGCATTTATGAATAGAACCAAAATATCACTTATTAAATTGATGAGCAATTTAATAATTTTTTTATGCTAATGAGCATTTTTTTATAAGAATATTAATAATAAGATAAAAAGAATCTAAATGCAAATAATTTTATTGCGAAAAAATACTACATGCTTGAATTATTATGTGACGAAGAAAATTTCATTATTCAATTAATACACGTCACTTTTGAGACATTTTAAATCGAGTTATTGGCGGAACTCGTATGAAGTTGAAGGCATTAATCCTAAAACACACTTTCCGAAAAATTCTGAAAATACCATAGGTTTGAAAAACACATTGTAACTTTAATAAGCTGTAACTTCCGTTGAGATTAATATTTTTAGACTCCCTTTTTTATTTTGAAGCTCTGAGATTTAAATATATATTTGCAATTTCAGAAAGTGTATTGTCAAGTTATGAAATAAAACTCTCCTTTTTTCTTCCTTTATGTACAGAGCAAGCAAAATTTTGATTGGGTCTGAGAGACCTATTGTGTGTTTTAGGATTAATCATCGGAGAGAATGCTTCAAACAATGCACATGAATGCGAGATAATTATTTTTTTGACGCGAAGGGAAGGCATATATAAAGTACATGTGAAGTACGAAGTGTCTCGAAAGGTATGAACTTTTGTTGGAAGTGTGACGAAAACACGCGTTTTCTCGATGTGCAGAAAATACGTTGTCTCAGATCCCAGCAGAGCGTGAGAGCTTATATTAGATACCAGACGACACAGTGCATTCTCGCGGATGTCCTGGTAAGAGGAAATGACAAGAGAGCAGGGTCGACTGGCAAAAGAGAGAAATATTCTAACCATCAACGACATCGGAAGCCATTACGCGTATCGAACAACGAACATGCGCAACAAAACCGCTCGCTGCGCCTGTCGACTCAATGAAATCATCCGCCGTTAAAGTGTATGACCTAGTCCACGAGATCTTCGATTTATCACGGAGTGAATGGAAAGAAAAAAGAACTCGCCTCGGGGAACGCGATACGCTGAATCGGCGTTTCGGCCGGAGATTTCTAATTCCGTTGTGGCTTTAAGTCCTGATTTTTAGGTAAATTTGTGGAAATGTTTATGAGATGCAATTGCATAAAAGAAACTTGGTCTATCACACAATTAAAAAAAAAATAGTATTCTAATTTTCCTCGAATTTACGAGCATATGCTGTTAAAATCGATTTCTCAAATTCACATTTACCCTGTTAATCCTCTAATGGACTTTACGTGACTATTTTTCGGTTTTACGGAAATGATCACAGAGAATTTCATTTGACTAATAATCGTTGTAATAATATTATGTACCCAATTCGATTTGTGTATACACAATGGGAAAAAAGACGATTTTAAAAATGTATGATTTTATTGAAATAATTATATTGTATAATAATTATCGAAATATTATAATTATATTTATATT